TAGAATATTTAGAAAAAAGTGTTTAAAGGTGAAAAGGTAAAAATAAAATTAATTTTAAATGACATTTAACCATGAATTGCAATCAGTTATCATCGAGTTTTAAATCAAAAAGTATCTTTATTTTTTTATTTTGTGCCAAACACATTCATTTTGTTATCATATCTACCAACAAGACTTCATCATGGTGGGCACTGTAGCATATTGACCTGGGATACTTTACACCTTTACACATTATATTTCCTTGTTTCAATTTTCCGTTGACTTTATGAATTGTTCCATTATCAAAACTGCAGATAAGAAATGACCCGTCATCTAACATCAGCATTCCCAAGGGTCCTCTAAGATCTGTATGTTTATATGTAGCTGTAACTTCCCCTTGTAATGCTACACTCACTACACTGTTGTTACCAAAATCACTGATATACAGAAGTTTGGAATCCTTGCTCACAGCAATATACGGGACATAGCCTGACAGAAAGGTCAAAGGGATGTTATTCAGGATATCACCTTGTGTATTCAGTACAATCACACTAGAAGGAGACAAACATGCAACATAAAAACAATCCTGATTATAGTCTATACCATAGCATGTCCTATTCACTTTAATACTGCGGACACATGATAACTTGTCATATGTTGTAATAACAACTATTTCTTGGTTGAACGGCATTGTTACTGCGAACTGATCCTGAGACATAACAACAATATCAAATGGATTTGAGTCAAGAGCTTTCTCTTCTTGTACACGTCTGTTCTCTATAGATACCAATTTTATCTTATCGTTGAAGTTATCAGCTTGAACTAGTTTATTTGTGTTAAGAACTGCACATCCTGTAATACAACATTCCGTTTTATCTGATGAAGTTTTAACGTTGATTTCTTCTTTCCGAATCAGACGATCAACAGATTTCATCTTATTTGGCGGTTCATAACAAGAATGACTGACAATCTCACCAAAGACCCTTGTTTTCGATAACAATGATTCAAGGTCAGAATTCCGCTCAAATGAGTAGTGCATATTAGTATTTATCAAAGATTTTTCTGCATCATTTAATTCATTTGATTTCAGTGAAGACTCAGCCCGTTTCATGTCAATGAAGAGTTGACTATTCTGATGATTTGATTTGTTTACATTAAGTTTTGATTGCAGACTTTTTATATCAGAAATCATACTTGCACATTCTTCAAGGACCTTCTGAACGATTTTAATATTCTTTGTCTTTATACCTTCAGCTGTTGTTGAAACATATTGTTGCATCTGATCAAGGCGGTCATTTATTTCTTTTCGGAATTCTGTTATTGCTTTGATTATTTCTTTATTGCATTCATTTATATCATTACTTCTTTCTTTAGCCATTTGAGAGATTTTTTCTGCTTCTTTAAGTTTTCCGCTGAGTTTTTGCATGACGTTATCGAATTCCTTGCCATCTGCAATGCCTCTGCATTTATCAGGTATGTACTCAATTTTACACGTTCGGTGGCGTAAAGTCATGCAATCATTGCACCCGAGCTCTTTGTGGGAGAGGCAATAAAATTTTATAACTTCTTTTTTATGAGCTGAACATAATTCTGTACATTCGTTGTATGATTGCTGCTTTGTATGGGACTTATCTAATTCATCTTTACTTAGTATATTGTGAGTCTTAGACATTTTTGCCTTTTTGTGACAATCTAGGCAGGTACTACAAAGGTATTCCTGACATATGCCACAAAATCCGTGAGCTTCTATACGTTGACCTGTGGTAAGGCACGGCTCACAACAGTGATCAAAGTCTTCTTCTGATCCTGCTGCTAATGATCTTAGCAAGTCTACTTGTTTACGTCCTGATACGGCCATTTCTATAAAACAACATAAACATGTATCAAACATTGAGTTTAAATTTATATCTGTTCCTAGTTAAAAGTAATTAGAAGAATTTATTCGTAAAGTAAGAAATAGTTTTCATATCTTACTTTTATAGTTAAACAATTCCAAAATAATTTATATATTTAGCCCATTTGCCACAGTAAATGTGTTATGATACTGCAAGTTTATTGTACAAAACATAATTACAAACACTAAGTTAGATATATACACAGTAAGTGAAATAGATGTGTCGCTGACACAATTTAACTTGACGACTGAGTTCTAAATCTATATTTTTTTGCAAAATCGATTTTTATATTAAAAACCGCTAAAAGGATTCTGATCTATAGGATCTGATGGATATTTTGATAACAGTATTGTTTCTATATTGCTTTATGTGAAATATTTCAAAACATTTAAACATTCATATAAGTAACTCATAATGTTTCTATTTTATTGAAAAGTCACAAGACATAAACACTTAGTACTCATGGTGAATTTGGAATAATACGAAACAAAATTTCTTGAAGATATCATTTAATTCTTGATATTAAAGGCCCATCATGCCTCAGACATGTTATTTTTGTCGAAAAATTTATTTTTGGTATCTTCTTAAAGTTACAAAGAAAAACTCATTTGCCGTATCAATGAACTATCTTTGATATTTTTGTACTCTCGCGGCACTGCATATTCTTTCGCGCACTACATGTATTCTCGTGACACTGCATGTACATTCGCAGCATTGCATATACTCTCGCGGCACTACATGTATTCTTGCGGCACTACATGTTCTCTCGCGGCACATCATGTATACTCGCAGCACTGCATGTACACTCGCAGCACTGCATATACGCTCGCAACACTGCATGCACTCTCGTAGCACTGCATGTACACTCGCGGTACTGCATGTACACTCGCAGCGTCGCATGAACTCGCGCGACACTACATGTACTCTCGCGGCACTGCATGTATACACCCGGTACTGTATGTACACTCGTAGCATTGCATTTCCTCGCGCACACATTACTCTTCGCGGCATTGTCTTGTGTCCCAGACTCGTTTACTGTCGCCCCAAGCATGTATACACGGGGTACTGCTTACCTCGTGCCTTTTTTGGGAAATTCGTGGGATTGCGTGCCCCTCGGGGGAATGCCTGTAAAATCGGAACTGCAAATTATATACTCGCGAATTTTATGTACACTCCCACATTTGAATAAGTTAATTTCAAAGATTTTCACGCACGTCGTAAATGTTTTTATTTTAGTTTGGGTCCCCAGAAAAACACCCTTTTTTTAAATATGTCAATTTTAATTTTTAAAATAATAATATACCCAAAAAAAAATTTTTACCGACGCATTAAATATATATCAATATGATTTTATATACAATTCAATGATCTTTCATACGATTAACGTTTTAAAGGTTTATTTCTTTAGGTAATATTGAGTAGACATATTGTATTTTTATGAAGGTCGCCTGAGGTCAAAAACTTATTTTAAAGTCTTGGCTTCATTTTTAAAGAAACAAAACATATCTGATCATGTTAACTTGATAGTTTGAATCTATAAATATGCTAATTTTTTGTTGAAAAAAAAATCGGAAAAAAGAATTTCACACATATCCATGAAATATATATAAAATTCAGATATTTATACGAAGAAAATAAACAATTAACACAAATATTTCTTACCTATCCAATTTCCTTAATGGTAGTTACAAGACAGTTTAAAAATAAATCGGAAACCTGATCTTTTTGAAAAAAGTTAAAATCTAATTAACTTACTTTCAAGGATAACGTCTATAAATAACATGCTTTAGTTTTTTCTCAATTGTTGAACTGAATTTCGGACAAGATTTAAACTACTTGTGCACGTCTTTGTCATAAAGTCATCGACGATGTAGAAATAAGTAATGTACAGCACATTAATGTTGCAATGTAAAAATGTTGTATTATCTATAGCCGTACCAAACAATTATATAACTAACACAAGTCACTTTTCATGACGTTTCAATACGTGATTAAAAAGTAACTAATAGTTTCCTTGTATACATGTTACATCTTTACACATATACATGTCTATGTGTTGACGTTTCGTTTAGTAAACAATTATAACAGAAAAGACTTTCAGAATCTTACTTTTTATAGATTCATCAAGTGCATGATATTAAACCCAAAACTTTTAAAAACGGTTCAATTTTCTTGTTCACGCAAAAAGCTGTAATAAGCTTACGGAAAATTCAAAAGTTGTTTTCTTATTATCAGTATTCGATTCCATTTTTGAACGTTTATAAACGTTCATACAAAAGCTCAGGAAATCGACATTTAATTCTCGTATTTTTAGCAGCAAAAACGTATTTGTAATATATTATTTTCGCATTAAATATTTTAGCACAGCTCTTTATGGCGTTACGGCGTAGTTCGTCTTTATCAATATCAACACGTCATTTTCGATTTTTAATCCTAGTCATCAAATAATAAATTATATACTTACGCACTCGAAACAAAGATATATATTTCAACTTTTACACGTCAAAAAGAAATATTGTTGGACTATATTCACGGTGGTGATATTTGTTTATGTGTCTCAGTGTTGTTCCATTCGGCTCGGGAAATAAAATGGCGAAAATTCTTTTATTGAAACTTATGTTTTGAAATATAAAATTTTGAAAACGTTCAATTAATCAAACAAAACAATACTTTCTTGAAAAAATATCTTACACGCGGATAGAGAACTGGGTCAAGATTTTGTTTTCGAAAAACAAAATTAAACAGAAAGAACAATAACAAAAAAAACAATTTTTGCAATTTTTTGAATTTTGAAATATCATCCATTCTATATCGGACGCATGTATAAATTGATGGGACAATTACATACATGTGTCATTCCTGTATGCATGTACACTTGAGTGTTGTGTTGCAGAAACGAAAATGCGTATTATTCTGGGGAGTCAATGACAACGGCGAGTTCATTGTTGTAAAAAAAATATTTTATTTTCAAATCTTCGAAAGTACTGAAATGTTACATAAATTACTCATTCCAACCTGTCTTTATAACTAATATTTCTATACGTTTACAACTGATATCTATTTTCTAAGTAACTCAGTTTTCTTTATAAATCTAACACTTTGCATGTTTAAACAGTTAATGGAAAAAATAAAAAATGACAGAAAGATTATAAAGTTTATGTAAAAATAATTTACCTCTTGTGATGTCAGATATAACGTCTCAGTAAAAACTTTTCAATTGTTTAATGTTTAAAGTAAAATTTCTCAATAAAATTAATTATAAAATATCCTTTTCTTAAATTTTACGAAACCAGGTATGACCTTCAGGTGTTTGCCCTAGATTTAACTTCCTTTCATGGAAAACGTCTATAAATAGCATGTTATAAATCTACTCAAGGCCTGTAATGTATGTATTTTGTCGCTCGTATATTAGTTCACAGTTACCTTTCTTTAATGTTTATAAAATATCTTAATCTCGAACAAAATTAAACCTCGTTGAATAAAAAAATATAACAGAATGTGCAATAAATTGCAACAATCTTTCCAAAATAGTTGAATAAAACAAAATATGTCAAAAACTAAACATTTATTATATAATGTTTAATTTTACAAATTTGTGTCTAGTTTGTAACTTAGCGTTTGTATGCACAAAGGAACGGGGATTGTTTTACCTTGTATTTATACGTCATTTTATTTGTCAATTACATTCATTTTATCTTTAATTCGTTTAGTGAAAAATACTTTGGAACCTACAAACAGCAAACAATTGCAAACAACTATCGTCATCAACCGAACTCAACTTTTAATGTAAACAACATTTTTATTTGATTTGAATCCCGTATAAAGAATAATAACAAGCTATTTCACTATTGAAAGTTTTTCAACTGTCTTGTTTTATTGAGTATAGACTTTTTTACGACGCAGTCCGTTGCTATGAAAAATCGACCGGAATTAGAATTTTCTCGCTCATGCGCCATCTGCGTAGGGCAAGAAATGCTTCGCCCTACATAGAAATATAGTAGAAGTTCATAGAAAATTCCGAGTTATATATGTTATTATATAAAATAGCTTTTAAATTAACAAATATAGAAAAAAATGACTTTATAGCTTTGTGACGAAGAATGCCATAAAAAGACATGGAAAAGATACTTGTTTAAGAATTAACGATCACGGAACTGACACGGAGATCATTTTTTTTAAAGAAGATGTGGAAATATATTTAACAGCAAATGAAAAGTCAACTTATTTGCTGTTGAAATAGTTCATTTAAAAACAAAAGAAATTATATAACTTGAAATGGAGATTAATTATCATTCAGAAAAAATATCAGAACAGGTGATAATGCATTTTTATTGTTCAATATACCTGATTATACCCTTTATCCGATTTGCCTGTGATGCAAACAGAAAGATTTAAGTCACATAATTAGAATTTTTTTTTCAAAAAATCTTGAGAAGTTAAGATGGGTTGTTTGGAAAAGATATAACACACATTTTATCCGCTTCTTCGTAATAAATACATGTTATTTTTAATAATGCACGTCACGCAATTTTTCTCATCTCAAAATCCATAAACATTGATCGGTATATTTAAAAGTTACATAACTTACTATTTTAATGATCGTAACTAATTAACTATATCATGATACTTAAACGTCCCGGTTGAATGAACAAACGTTCGCATGCCAATCTGTTTGACACTTGCCGCCTGACCAGTCCAGTTATTCAAAGGAAGTGTACAATATATAAATAACACATGGGTTTGTGGGTAACAGTAAAAATATCATCCCGAGGAAAATACTGTTACCCGAGGCGTAGCCGAGGGTAACAGTATTTTTACGAGAGATGATATTTTTACTGTTACTCACAAACCCATGTGTTATTTATTTTATTAACCCGAACAAAAATACTGAGATGATCTGAAATTGTCAACTTAATCTAACTGTAACAAAAATAAACCAAGAGTAACAATAACTAAACTGTCCTTACCTTTTAAGTTTAAAGTGTACTTTACTGTAGGCCTACTTGAGAAGTTTTCTTTTTCTTTTATTCTTTAAGCAAGTGATGATATCTACAAATCATAAACATACAATAAGCTAGGTTTTATTTAGGAAACAAAACACTAACCCATTTACACGGTTATGATCTGTGAAATCTGATCCTTCTGCATCCAGAATATTCTTCGCATGGTTTTTGGCAAAGTGCATTTAGAAAATAACGATGATATCCTACAGATGTCTGTCCACCAACTCTATCTGTACAGTAACGTTTCACTGGTTAAAATTGTTAAATTATCCTCTGTTGCATGCTTTAATTGTCTGCATGTTCTAGTTTGACACAAAATTATTGACATTACAATCACTTCCGTTGAAAACGGATGTTTCCTGTTGACTATTCAACAAAAAGATATTTAATACGCGAAAGGGACTCTAGGGTGCAAATAACTAAATTTTATCAGAGTAATAGTTACTTCGGCGATGCCCTATCGTCGAAAATAAGAATGAATCGAGAAAAAAATGGCGGCCATTTTATTTCATTTTATTTAGAAAATAGACCACGTGACCAGATTTTATACTGTTAAAAAATACTGTTACCTATGTAACAGTACAAAATTCGTAGTCACGTGGTACACTTGCATTAACAGTAAGAATAACTCCCAGAGGCCTATGGGAAATTAACATTACGAAAAAATGGAGGGGTAATAATACAAATTGTGTAATATTATGTAATACAGGGGTAATAAAATTCTATCTGTAACACCCTGCTGTTTCAATTTAAATTACTGATGGAAAAGTCGTCTAATGATACCTTAAACAAAGACATGTGTGTGCCCGTTTTGACCATTGAATAATTACTCCCACACATTTTCGTAGATCTGTTAAAAATAGATTCACGTTTTCAGTACTTACCGCCTTAAGTCATCCCAAAATATATATTTTTTGGGTGACATAACATGAAATCGCATTTATTAAAGCCTTAAAGTATGATAAACTGTAGACACCGTTATTGTTTTTTGCCCTACGCAGAATGCGCATACGCGAAATGCAACATTCGTAGAAATGAAAAGTTTCTGCAAACAATGATATACAAATATATTATGTCTTGTATCAGAGTATTATCTAGAGATATAAAATATTGGTAAATATACAATATGAACAACGTATACTGTTCTTTCTCTTTCGAATGTTTTTTGTTATTCATTTATTTATTTTATTTTATTTTTATTTTTTTTCAGTTATTTTCTTCGACTCTAGATAACAAGTTGGCGTTTCTTTTTATGTCAATTTGCTTTTATGTTCCTTTAACCCATCGGAAACAATATCTGACCTTGAATAGCATTGGAATGAGTTTGGTGTTTTTGGTGCTTTTTAAAATGGGACGGTGGATACATGATTTCATTTTGAACTTTGTACTAAAATATGTTTTATCGTAATTATCCTGTCCAGTTTCTGTATATTTTTTTAATATCTGGAAAACAGTGATCGCTCGGCAAAATTACATACATATTGCAGACTCGGATAAATTAAGTCTGTACATGAGAGATAATGAAAAAGTGCAACATATCTAACATTTAAACAAATGACATACACACCCTTAAGTTATTTATCTATTTAACTATTTTAATCAACTTTCGTCATTTCGGGTGTCATCTTATTTTCTAAGATTTGCACAAAAGCAACATAGTAATCATTTTACACCATCTATTCTAGCTCTGCCACAAACAGAAAAACAACATTGTCTATGTTAGTCAAATCTAGCCGGAAGCACAAGGTATTATTTATAATTATGTAGTTACTGTAATATACTTCAAATATATCGCAAATGAAATTTGAAGGAATGAAGTTAGTTCAAAACAAAACATCTATTCTCTAATATAGATATAATGCGCACTTCTGAAATTATTATTATTAAGGGACATAAATGATCGCGCGACACTAGGCTATGATATGGCTACTTTATATAGCTTATCGTTAGACTAAAACACTTAATCTGCTATGTCTGTTGTATCGTCATACAGATCGTTTTTAAATTATGCGGTTTTCCTTTTTTATATCTCATTACGTAATTAAATCATGACGTCACCATATTTATGTTGAACATAATTTAAATCAAATTAGTTGATTTCCGAGGCGTAATGTGCTAATAAACCTAAATAAACAAAAACAAGCGCATTGATATGTATGAAAATTTATTGTGTACAGCATCGCAAAAAATAACAGGTTGATTAACAATCATGTTGAATGTATATGCTACCGGAAAAAGAAACGCGATAGTTTTCTTGTTAAAAATATCAAATTGCATATTTTACCTTGACGGTCAGTGTCATTAAGCGGTCAATGTCATATTTGAAGTACTCATTATGTCCACTTTGTCTTAAGTACTATTTTGTCCGAGATGAATCAAGTCAATAAAAAGTATGACAATTTCAGCAAATTTCAACAATTTGGCCTTAAGATATCTTTAAAATTTAAAGGATGACAAATATCAAGATGTTTCAAAACTTGTATTAGCCAAGCAGCCTAGTAGCATTAAGTGTCATATATTAGACAAACAAAAACGGTTCAAATGTATTAGAATCAATTGCTTAGGGTATCAGAAAATGAATATATAGACATACAAATATTTTAACGGGCTTAAAAAATATATAAAGCTGTGTAGTTGTCCCACAATCTAGTAGTAGGAAATAAGAAAAGTGTTATCAAAGTAGTATAAATCTTTCATGATTTGTAGTTTATACGACTTTGTCACAAAAATGTTCAACACGAAATTACGACAAAATTGAATGTTGTCGTATGTGTGCTTGCATTTCGAAATTTCCATACTGCAAAAAGAACAGCAACTAAATATTCAGGCAAAAATACAGCATATACATAAATTTTGTCTGAGTGAACACTTACACAAAGTGATTCATTGCTTTCCATATCCTCATATCACACCTCTCGTACGTTATTTTTCATGCAAACCTTGCAACCATTTTACTATTCATTGTCTTTAATTAATGGTTTGAATAATAATCTTAGGTAAGCGATATATAGGCTGTACAAATGACTAAAAACATGAACATTAATTTCAGTGTTGTTTCTAATATAGTTTCAATTGACACATATTGATGATAACAAATTGGAATGTATAGAAAAAGGCATATTTTAAGGTTGAACGGTTAAAATATATTTAACTTTATATGACCTTCAACAATGAATTACAGACAGTAATCATTAACTTATAAGTCAAACGGTATCTAAATTTGTCATTTTGTGCAAAAAGAATGAATATTCATTTCAGTCTATTTTTTAACAAAATTTCAATCAACTTATATTAAGTTCACAAATTAAAATATTAGAAAATATTTTAAGGTTCAAAACTTAAAATATATATAATATAACATATAATTTTGAATGGCATTTAACAATGAATAGCAATCAGTGATCAATGATTTACAAGTCAAACGGTATCTTAATTTGTCATTTTGAGCCAAAAACTTTCAGCTTGTCACTCCCACAACCAACATAGACTTCATCATGGTGGGCACTGTAGCATATTGACCTGGGATTGTTTACACCATGACACATAATATTTCCTTGTTTCAAGTTTCCGTTGACTTTCTCAATTGTTCTATTAGAACAGCAGAAAAGTAATGACCCGTCATCTAACATCAACATTCCTCGTGGTGCACTAAGATCTGTATGCTTATATGTAGCTGTAACTGTCCCTTGTAATGAAACACTCACTACACTGTCGTTTTTACAGTCACTAATATACAGAAGTTTGGAATCCTTTCTCACAGCAATATACAGGATATACTTATAGTCAGGTGAAAGAAAGTTCAGAGGGAAGTTATTGAGGATATCACCTTGTGTATTCAGTACAATCACACTAGGAGGAAACAAACATGCAACATAAAGACAATCCTGGTTAAAGTCTATACCATAGCATTGCCTATCTACTTTAATACTGCGGACACATGATAGCTTGTCGTATGTTGTCATGACAACTATTTCTTTGTTTCCCGGCATTGTTACAGCGAACTGATCCTGAGACATAACAGCAATATCAAATGGCCCTGAGTCTAGAGCTTTCTCTTCTTGTACACGTCTGTTCTCTATAGATACCAATTTTATCTTATTGTTGTTGTAATCCGCTAGAACTAGTTTATTTGTGTTGAGAACTGCACATCCTGTAATAGAACATTCCCTCTTATCTGTTGAAGTTTTAACATTGATACCATCTTTACCAATCAGACGATCAACAGATTTCATCTTATGTGGCGATTCATAACAAGAAAGACTGACAATCTCACCAAAGACCCTTGTTTTCGATAACAATGATTCAAGGTCAGAATTTCGCTCAAATGAGTAGTGCATATTAGTATTTATCAAAGATTTTTCTGCATCATTTAATTTATTTGATTTCAGTGAAGACTCAGCCCATTTTATGTCAATGAAGAGTTGACTATGCTGTTGATTTGATTTGCTTACATTTAGCTTTGATTGCAGACTTTTTATATCAGAAATCATACTTGCACATTCTTCAAGGACCTTCTGAACGATTTTAATATTCTTTGTCTTTATGCCTTCAGCAGTTGTTGAAACATATTGTTGCATCTGATCAAGGCGGTCATTTATTTCTTTTCGGAATTCTGTTATTGCTTTGATTATTTCCTTATTGCACTCATTTATATCATTACTTCTTTCCTTAGCCATTTGAGAGATTTTTTCTGCTTCTTTAAGTTTTCCGCTGAGTTTTTTCATGACGTCATCGAATTCCTTGCCCTCTGCAATGCGCCTGCATTTATCAGGTATGTACTCAATTTTGCACTTTCTGTGGCCTAAAGTCATGCAATCATTGCACCCGAGCTCTTTGTGGGATGGGCAATAAAATTTTATAACTTCTTTTTTATGAGCTGAACATAATTCGGTACATTCGTTGTATGATTGCTGCTTTGTATGGGACTTATCTAATTCATCTTTACTTAGAATATAGTGATTCCGGGAAAGTTTTGCCTTTTTGTGACAACCAAGGCAGTTACTACAAAAGTATTCTTGACAAGTGACACAAAACCCGTGAGCTTCTATACGTTGACCTGTGGTGAGACATGGCTCACAACAGTGATCAAAGTCTTCTTCTGATCCTGCTGCTACTGATCCTAGCAAGTCTACTTGTTTATGTCCTGATACGGCCATTTCTATAAAACAACAAAAACGTGTATTAGTAAACATTGGGTTTAATTTGTGTCTGTTCCTAGTTAAAAGTAATTAGAAGACTTTATTCGTAACGTAAGAAATAGTTTTCATATCTCACTTTTATAGTGAAGCAAAACCAAAATAATTTATATATTTAGTCCATTTGCCATAGTAAATGTGTTCAGAGCTGCATCAGTACTAAGGGTGTAGTACTTAAGAACCAGTACCAGTACTTGGCAAATTATGCAGTACCATTACCAGTACCAGTACTAGATTTTAGCTGGGTACTGCAGTACCAGTACTTTTTTTGGTGAAGTAATTAAGTATCAGTACCATTACTTTTATATATTCATCTGAATTAATACAGTGTCGAACAAATAATTGCAAATATTATTCAGCAAAGAAATAAAATCATAATTTTAAAGCTGCATGCCTCCAGATGACCAAAACTATTTCAAGACAAGAAACATGGCAATGCCATGAAACCAGGTTTTCAATTATCACCATTGTAGATAAATATGTTGTATTTGAAATACAAATACAAGCAACAAACAATGTAACTATGTGCAATGTAAAACATGAATAATGTAGGAGGAATTGCCACAGAGGAAGTGTTCACTATAATTATATTCTGTATAAGGAAACTAGAACTCCGCGAGTCGGATGTGTCGCCTTGTGAACAATGAAGTTTAGGAGAAATGGCCAGGAAAAAAATGAAATATGAAAAATAACAAAGGGCAATAACTAAAAAAATAATAAGTGCAGAGCAGCAGTTTCTGTGCACTGCACTTTTTATCAATAAGATCTATCATTCTATGATGTTTCAAGTCCATAGCTTTCATACTTGAGGAGAAATGACAAGGACAAAATTAAAGTATGAAAATAAACAAAGGGCAGTAACTCAAAAAATAATAAATGCAGAGTACCTGTTCTTGTGCACTGCACTTCTTCTTAATGAGACCTATCATCCTATGAAGTTTCAAGTCCATGGCTTTTATACATTAGGAGAAATGTCCCGGACAAAAATAAAGTATGAAAATTAACAAAGGGCAATAACTCAAAAATTAGGAAGTGCAGAGTACCTGTTCTTGTGCACTGCACTTCTTCTTAATGAGATCTATCATCCTATGAAGTTTCAAGTCCATAGCTTTTTTAGTTGAAGAGAAATGGCCCGGACAAAATTAAAGTATGATAAACAGGATTTTCAATGTTAATGTCACTGTGACCTTGACCTTGGAGCCAGCCATGCGGAACATGCGTTCTGCACGTCATCTTGATGTGGTAAACATTTGTCTGAAGTTTCATCAAAATTCTTCAAAGGGTTGAAGAGTTACAGAGCGGACAGGATTTTCAATGTTAATGTCACTGTGACCTTGACCTTGGAGCCAGCCATGCGGAACATGCGTTCTGCACGTCATCTTGATGTGGTAAACATTTGTCTGAAGTTTCATCAAAATTCTTCAAAGGGTTGAAGAGTTACAGAGCGGACAGGATTTTCAATGTTAATGTCACTGTGACCTTGACCTTGGAGCCAGCCATGCGGAACATGCGTTCTGCACGTCATCTTGATGTGGTAAACATTTGTCTGAAGTTTTCATCAAAATTCTTCAAAGGGTTGAAGAGTTACAGAGCGGACAGGATTTTCAATGTTAATGTCACTGTGACCTTGACCTTGGAGCCAGCCATGCGGAACATGCGTTCTGCACGTCATCTTGATGTGGTAAACATTTGTCTGAAGTTTCATCAAAATTCTTCAAAGGGTTGAAGAGTTACAGAGCGGACACAATTTCGTTTGACGCCCGCCCATCCGCCCATCCGCCCAGCCGCCCATCCGCCCATCCGCCCGCCATACCCCAATCTAATAACCAGGATTTTCAAAATTGAAAACCTGGTTAAAAATTAAACTTGGAAAAAAAATTACTAAAACTTTGAGAAAAGTAAACAAATTAAAGATTCAAGTGATAATTTATTAGAGCTGTCATCGATAGAGACAATATCGATGTATCGTTGATATTTTTTTGCCGATCAATAATCGATACACATTTCAAACTAGAACTATCGCTGAATGCGATTCATACCCCCACCAATGTCCTTGACAGAAGACAACTTGAAAAGGTGGTTAAGGGAATAACTTAAGTGACACAAATACATAAAAAGAAATTATCTCTGGTGAAAAAAAGACTAATTGTACAGGTAATAGTAAAAATATCTATTATCAAATCATATTCGAAACAGTTACAAATAACCTTTCATTTTCCCAATATACTAAACTTTTTATAAGTCAATTTTTGACCTTCAAGTGTGGCCTTGACCTTCAGCTGGCACAAGGTAAGATGGGTTCTGCACATCGCCCAATTGGAGTGAACATTTGAGTAAAGTTTGAAGAAAATCCTTCCATTAGTATAGAATTTATAGAGCGGACACAACATATTGTCTAGTATTGATTGTATGTAAATTTAAAGACTTAAAAAGGGGCATAACTTTGTCAAAATCCAATACAGAGTTATGAAACTTGACCTGCATATCGTAATTGTGACACCTCATATATCTTTTAAGTTTTAAGGAAATACCTATGCTAGTTTCCGAAATATTCAAGAACATGTTTTAATCTAAGAACATTTTCTAAGTCAATTTTTGACCTTCAAGTCTGACCTTGACCTTTAGCCTGCACAAAGGTGACATGGATTCTGCACATAACTTTGTTTAGGTGAACATTTGAGAAAAGTTTGAAGAAAATTCTTCCATTAGTATAGGATTTATAGAGCGGACACAACATATTGTCTAATATGTGATTGTATGTAAATTTGAAGATTAAAAAGGGGCATAACTTTGTTAAAATGCAATACAGAGTTATGAAACTTGACAAGCATATCTTAATTGAGACACTTCATTTATATTTTAAGTTTCAAGCAAATACCTTTCCTAGATTCAGAAATATTCAGATATATGTTAAAATTAAAGAACATT